GGCTATTTACACTGCTGCCGCGGTACAGTTTTTCAAAAATGTTTTAATTTCCTCAAAAATACCAAAAGTGGGGTACCACAATCTTCCCAACACCTGCTTCCAGTCACTGACTTCTCATCGCTCCGGATGCGGTCAGAATCCGCGTGTAGGTTGATCCTTGTCCCGCAGCCACTCTCGTATCATATCCGGACACACCCAATTCCATCCCCACAGGAGGCAATCGAGTCTCACCGCAGTCAGCTCGCGCTGGAATGCGCGCAACCCAATCTGCGGTAACTTCAACGTAACCATCCGCAGCTGCGTAGACTTCGACATTGCGTTCTTGAACTCGGCCGCGCACCTCAGAAGTCCGCGAACTCTCCGCTCTCTGTCCCCAAGCTTCTTGCACGCGGACTCAATCACTCCGCGAGCTCCCCGCACTCTCTAGTAAGAACCCTCTGGCTACGCACTCAGCTGCTGCACGCTCTCCTACAACAACCCGCTCGTCGCAACTCTCTCTAATTTTTCTCCACCGATTCCCTGTTGCGCGGTTGACGCTCGAGCGAAATCAAAATTGAAATTGCAAGAATGAGACGTCTGCCTTCGGCGATCAAGATTTCACCGTTTGACACTTGGGAGTGGGAGTTGACCCACTTGATTGCAGCGCCGGCTTGGAGGCGTAACGGCCTCCTTCGCACGCTCAGATTCACGCTCCGCCGTTGTGCGGACTCCCACGCCTGAAAATTGAATTCGATTCTCCCGTTGTCCATCGACTAAGCCTTGCTCGCGCATTGCCGAAGGCGTGACGGCGAAGGACTTCGTCCCTGGCCGGTTTCCAATTTACTCTCTCCGTATCGCCGAAGGCGTCTGTCTTCCGCCAAAGGCCTATCGCCGAAGGCGTTGACCGAAGTCAATGCGTCTTGTCATTTCCGATGTTCTTTCTTGTTCTGCTGAAGGCGCTTCTGCCGCAGGTGCTCCTTTCCGCCGAAGGCGCATGTGTTCGCCGAAGGCGTTGACCTAATATCAATGCGCTGGTGCCGAAGGCGTTCAGGCGAAGGAGTACACCGCCGAAGGCGCTGCCCCGAAGGCGTATTTCCGCAAAAGGTGGCCCATATCAGTCACTTCCGACACTCATAACTCAGTGATCCCTTATCCCTTCTAAGAGTTCTTGTGCTTGTTGAAACGAGCGTGTCAAGATCTTTCCAATAAGACCCTAATCAAGTCAAGAAGTTACAAATTGAGAAAGTTATGACGGATTCACTCTATCGCCGAAGGCGTCTACACCCGAAGTCGTATCGCTGAAGGCGAGTGACTGGCAACAAATTCGCTTTCCCTTAACGAAGGCGCAGATGTCCTAGGCCTCATACGTCCTTAGCGAAAGCTCTTCTGCAGGGGCCTGAGCCGAAGACGCTCTCTCCTGCTTGCACCGAAGACCACTTAACAAGAAAGCTGTTGCCGAAGGCGCCTGAGGCGCTCCCTCTCAGTAGGAACCATCCGTTCGGGCCAGGGCGCCTGTCTTCAACATTGCGGTCAACTCGATGATTCTTCAGGATTCTCCGTGACCCGCGATCATCCATTTTTACTCTATTTTAGTGTATCGATTACTATTTACAGTTGCTGCTGCAGTACTTTTTTCCAAAAATGTTTAAATTCCGCATAAAAACAAAAAGTGGGTTACCACATAAGTCTCAACTTGGGCTCTTTACTTCTTAAAAGTGACAAAAACATCAGATTTGCGTGAATGAAAATACATTCACACAAACCTTAAGTAGTAACCAATAAATGTAACATAGTATTGCTACCTCCGGTCTGACTCTCACTCAGATTTACCTTAGGTGACTTTGTGGTAACTTATCATGGTTCTAGAAGGCTAGGATTCATCCTTCTACTCATATCCCAAACATACTCTCAAACATTTACTCAATTCATCACTCAAATTTGCACACATATCGACACTTCAAGATGTTGAAAAACGTCATTTTTGGAAAACTTTGTTTGAGTTTTTTTTTCAAAACAAAACTAGCAATATCAATGGTCTATCATTCTCTACCTAATGAACAAACAAAGAGCGCAAATAGAACCATAGTGTATATGCTACAAAAATTCACATTAAAAGAGCAAGAAGAGTGGTACACACTTTTGACTCTTGTGAAATTTGCATATAACAATTTTGTTAATGCATTCACAAAAGTGTTTCCATTTTATCTCATGTATGGTGTTCATCTTATAACTACTTCAAGCTTTATGTGACTTTTTGAGTTTTTTACCAAAGTTACAACAATAAACAAGTTTGTGGAGCATATTTACAGAAGACTACATCAGTCTAAGGAGAAGTCGATGATAGATCAAAATCGGCAAAAACAACATGCATATGTTCATCCTAAAGAGTTGATTTTTGAATTAGGAGATCATGTTTGGTTATTTACAATAAATTTGTCCCTTGTAAGAACGCCAAAATTAAACATTAGGTTCATTAGGCCATTTTTGGTTTTGAAACATGTTGGTGAAGTATAATACAAATTGAAATTTCAGTCACATATGAAAATACATCCGATATTTATGTGTCACAATTTCAAAAACATGTACAAAGAGCAAAAGAATGCACCAACCAATCAGCATCATCTTCTCTTCAAACCTAGATAGCAAATCATGAGGAGGTTGAGGTAAAAAAAATTATTCAAGAAACGTATTGGAGTTCATAAATATCCCAAAGTAAAGTGTTTGATCCAGTGATTATCCACTTAAGCCGCTCCGTGTGCTTTCAAATTAATGATATATTTCATAGTGTGAAACTATTGGAGCTTAATCCTATGACTTCAAAGAAAAGGTATAAAGAATTTCTTGTCTATAGTATAATGGATTCTCTCTTCATTATTCTACAATATTTGTTTTTTGTGATTGGATCTTATTTACACAATTTTTATACATATAATTCGGATGAATATATCATGTCTTCTTCAATATGTACAATAATGTTTGATAGCCATCATTAAGTTAATAATTTAATTTTCATTTCATCATATAAGTTAAATTTAACTTAAAAAGAGGTGGAACACATCCCTCCTTTTTTAATCATAAAATACCCTTATTTATATCTTAAATGTAAATTTGTTGTATATATATATTATCTTTTCTTCATCGAGATTTTAGGATATATAACCTCCATCTAGTCTTCAAGGAAGCGTAACAAGATACAAATCCAAATTTGTCATAACTATGTGATCTTATCCTAAATGCATAGGATTGCTCAAGAGTGACACAAGCAAACTGCAATGCTTGAAAACTGCGTGATACGTAATTGAGACTTGGTATTAAATCCAATAGGTCATAACTCCAGACGTGTTTTCCTCACAACATCTTTAAAAAATATGGTGCTTTGTTAAAAATATAGTCTTTTAATTTGGAGGAAAAAATGGCTCCATCTAGATGTATGTCTCTATTAACTATTATGTACAACAGAAACCTAATCCACATACAAGCTCTTTGATAAAATAAGGTAGAAGGAGACTTTGTAACCAAGCCTCCAAATTCTTCAAAGAGTCGTATATATCCACAATTCATGTGTGAAATAGAGTTTTCGAGAAACACATCCTCAAGAGGGATCCGGTGACAGCAACCAGCGAGTGTGACGATCCCATACTCCTTTCCGCAATAATAATCTTCAGCAGTTCATGTATTGGGATAAGTTTTCCAAGTACCTACCAACCTTGAGGCCCGAATTGCCTGATATATGAACGAAGCGCGTGAACTGTTGTAATTCACTTTCTCTCCAGCTTGAATCTGTCATTGTGACCTGCATCGTGCTAGTCGAAAGCACTTACAGTCAAAACTTAGTTTCGACTAGAACGCAACAATTAGACGATTACGTTTGTTTGCAGCAATTCTGCACATAGTCCTTCTGGGCTTTCTCAAATGGTGGAGGTCGCCTAAGCGGAAGACTATGGCAGATGCAAGCTGTGTTGTTACAATGGCAGATTCAAGCAGATCACTATCATGACTATGATAAAAGAACTAGGATTACCACTTGACTCTGAAGTGGCATACCCTTAAGATAACTTTGTGTCGACTCTTGGAGATTCGATCAGAGTGATGACAGTGATGTGCAGATCCCACAGATATGAATATATACGTCTGGCTAACTTTATGCCTCACTCACAACAGTCAAAATCCACTTTAGAAGAACTAAGTCACGCTATCTCATCAGTCACATCAACCGTAACAACCGTAGGATTGTATTTGACACCACAAAGCTTCTGGATCTGCCTAGTGACGGACTCTTCCAGCTCTCTAACTTATGTGGTAAAAAACATTCGTGTTTGCAAGTCGATTACCAAAACTAGCAAACTGAAATGAAAGTAAAATGGAAAAAGAAGCATAAACAGGAAACTAAACAAGTGAACTTCTCTTCATAGAAAAATGCTCTGATCAATTTAACAATTAATATTTGCGCAATAGTTACATTTAGAATTAGCAATGTGCATCAGTCCTCCTCGGTCTAGATTATCGCAAATTCTCTACAGGGACTCTCGAGGGGGCAAAAATGAGACACATCATCACTCTTGAAAACTAGGATTTTCATATGCCTCAGAAGTGGCATAACCTCACAAGAACGAGAGAGTTTTTTATATATTATCTTGTGACGGCTTGACCCCACTAATTCCATACTATACAGTTCTGCATTCAAACTCTCAACTGAACCTCCGAGGCCACTCTCTGCTAGCAGGGAGACACAAGGAATAAGAAGAGTTGAGTGATGTTCTGTGTGCGGAAGAAGGGGGCTACAACATAGCTCTCGCTGTTCATAGCAAACCACAAAGTTCTACAATCCAACTCTAATGAGCGGGCCAGGTCGTCCTACTGCTTGATTCCCACTGCTTCCATACTACACAATTCTACACTCAAACTCTCAATTGAACCTCCAGTGCCATTACAGTCGGACCCTAGAATTTTGTGGTTTGCTATGAACAGCGAGAGCTATGCTGTAGCCCCCCTTCACCCCACACACAGAACATCACTCAACTCTTCTTATTCCTTGGGGCTCCGGGCTAGCAAAGAGTGGCCCCTGGAAGTTCAGTTGAGAGTTTGAGTGCAAAATTGTGTAATATGGAAGTAGTGGGACTCAAGCCATCACAAGGTTATATAGAAAACTTTCTCGTTCTCGTGAGATTATACCACTTCATAGCCAAGTGGAAATCCTAGTTTACAAGAGTGATGATGTACCCCATTTTTGCCCCCTTAAGAGTCTGTGTAGAGAATTTGGGTCATATCTAGACCTAGGGGGACTGGTGCACATTGCTAATTCTAAATGTAAATATTGCACAAATATTAATAGGTTGCAGGAATAAAATTCCGTGTTTGTGCGTTTACTTCACAACACACCGTTCTAAACTCAGAGCATCTGACTCATTCATCAGTGCTCGAAGTATATAGGTGAGACATACCTCAGCCGCCGATACATCAGATGTAAACTTGAGTTGGATACGTGATCCTCCTCAGTTTCATCTTTGTAATCTCAGTCTAAGGCAGGTCCTCGCTGCTCCTCATCCTCCAGCAAATCCCACTCCTCCACATAACTTCTTTCAATATCCATTGTATCGAATTCGTTTTCTATAGGCTTGAGATCAGTTTCGGATTTTAGAAAGAACAGGTCCTTGACCGTTGAGTTCTCTTCCGCTACAGGAAATTCTGCGAGGATGTCCCAATTCCAATCTCGCGGTACCAAACCTCCTGGTATTTTGTCGGTCGGACGCGGTAGTATACAGGCCTCCGGAAAGTCCAAGAGTGATTCCAGTAAATGCCCGAACTCCAAAACGGCTCGAGCAAATACAAAAAGTCAGCCATAAATTTTCCCTCGGCAGCAATGTCGCTCGTTTGAGATGGATTATTCTTGAGAACCCACAAAATATGCCCGAGAGCTTCATCATCTCCAGGAGGGAAAAGAAAGCCTTTATGACCGTCAGAGATTTGTAAAACACACACGATAGAAATGAATGACCTCAAAGAGCTATGGTCCAACCTTGGTGGTTTCCAATATTGGCCAACTTAGCAAACAATCTCAATGGGCGGATTTCTTACATGTTTGTTTATCGGCGCGATGTCAGGTACAATCAAAGGACGTTCAAATGTCAAGGACCGTACGAGGATAGGTGGAAATCCATGCTCCTCCGTTCCAGAAGTATAAACGACCGCGTCGGATGCCCAGAGCAGGCCGTTCATGTCCTCGTAGACACCCACATGCTGGACGACTCCACTTGGCAACCCAACGTGTTGGGCCATGACCTGCAAATATCAAATATATTTATTCAAGCGCATGTGAAATAAAAGATCACTCGTCAGACGTATACTGCTGCTAAAAGTTGTCATTTCAGTTATTTATTTGGCTAGAAAAACATACCTGTAATGCGTATCTGTATGGACTACTTGAATTGCCATATCCCTGTACAAACACCCTCACTGGTCCAAGTGGACTGTAGCCCGCTGACATTAGACTGGCGGCTGCTTTCATGACCAGAGCTTGCTCCTTCCAGAAGCTTTCATAGTCGCACGCGGTCGCGATCGTGATCAATGCAAAATCGTCTGAAGTCAAGCCTAGCTTCGACCGCACATCTTCCATTCGATGAGTCTTCGTGTAGTGATCTGACTCCCAATGAGGAAAGACACCTGGTGACACCCTCGCGCTTTCAGTGCGTCTGAGGTGGTTGGACCCCATTAGCATTGTCGCCAGGCAGCATGCTGCCATGAGTGTGATGAGTACCAGATGTGTAGTGCGATCTATAATCGACTGTGATCTTTTCAAAGGAAGGCTGGTCCCTCTCATTGTGTTCGAACGATCTCTCCGAGTCCCAACCCCTCTGGATGCCTGATCTTACCGCTGCACCTAGTCTCAAGTAATATGTACCTTTCCTCCAGTGATTGCTTCTTAGCCAAATAGCGAAGCAAACTTCGACAGCGAAATCCCTTCCTACGGCTCATAACTAGAGAACTTAGGTACTCATCTCCGATTATGTTACGGATACAACAAACACAACGTCGCTCCAAGTTTCTGGAAATAAGAGGATTTCGGTCTTGTGAAAATTCACAACACTAAAAATCCTCTTAAATTCCAAATTCGCAAGCAGACTGCGTTAGCATGAAAGAAACTGAACAAACGAAAACACAAACTGGAATCGGCAGCATATAAATTGCAATTGACAGAGCCCCTCACCGGAATCAATACTCGTGCTCAAGCATAATCAACGCACGACCAGGATACACCCCTCCTCTACTGCCAGTTAGAAGTTATTCGGTTCCAGTAGAAGTGGCGTTAAAGAGTCGTTCGAGAATTGTCAGACTTCGAGACGCCCAGGATGTTGTGCGGCGCGAGGAGCCTGTGACGACGGTCGACTTGAGGGCCGGAGGTGGCTCCGCTGGTGGCTCGTATTCAATACTGATGTACAGAATTGAGTCCACTGACTACCTCCTGAGACGTCGCCGGGTACTTCCCGAAGCGGCTGCCACACACAATTACGACAGAAGTAACCATCAGTTGCCTCGTAACCAAGAAATCACTCACAACTGCACCGACTGACAGCGCGAACCCAGACCGTCCGACATTTCGCGAACAATGCCGAGGAGATAGACAACTCAACTCGACTGTCTTGCTCTATCGTACCTTCTGTCCTGAGTTGGGTCCCCGGAGTTGCAACCTCATTCCACACACGAATGGAATGAGGTTGCAATTCACTGACTGAACGAACTGATTGACGAGCAAACCACGACGCGACCCGAAGAAGACGAGCTCATGATACATACCGCCGACTGCCATCACGCAGAACTACTACTACTACTACACGAAGAGGAAAAAAATTCCAAAAGCCAGGCGGACATTCTCGAGCAAAGAAATACTATCCGCCCGCCCATGGAAAATCTGGTTTTCGTGGGAGAGCCCAGCCGACTCCTGACGGAGGAGGAAATGGATAAAGCGTATATATCACAATTCTCGACTACACGATGTGCTCTGTTGCGCACTGCAGCGCAGCAACATCCGCAGCAGCAACCAACGCTGCGCACACTCCGCATCCATGCCACCCCAGAGCTTACTGCAGGAGCGGAGCGAAGGCAGAGTCGAGGGCACACGTGACGGAGAGCATTTGGTCTGAGCCCGAGGCGGAAGTGGGAAGCGTGGCAGAACATGGGCAGCGGGAGCTGATGACCCCAAGCGCAGGAGCACCAGGCAGCCAGCCCAACACGGAGTAGGGCCCCGCTGCCGCCTCTGCTTGCTTTTCATCATTCAAAGCTGAAGAAAGGGCCAGCCCTAGGCCCTTTCATTTCGTTATATGTCTGGGTGCGCAATGCCAGACATTGCGCATGCTCCCCTCGAGCATGGGAAGCATAATTCTCCACTCCCATCAGAGCATGCAAACTAGAATTCTTCTCTTGAACATGGACTCCGATTAGAGCACGGAAGAGATGACGAAATCGAAGAAAGATTCACGCGCTCAAGACTCGAGTATCATAATCAATGGGAAAAGACTAGATCATTCAAAATCGAAGCATTCACAAAGGTGAGATCAAGGTTTAGAGAAGTACATGAGCGAGCTGGAAAGAAGCTGTGCTATTTCTTAACCCGAGTTCGATAATTCCGTCCGAAGGCTGTCGTACAGGAGTAGAGTTCGCTTCATCTCTTGGACAGAGGATTCCAGCAAAAAGTCAAGCTTTTATTGCAATCCGTTTCCATAGAACAAAAATCCGTCAACGGATTTTTGTTCTGTCGAAACGGATGTTTTCAAAACATCAGTTGGAATTGCTTAAAATGTTTTATAGGCATCAATTTCTCGAAACAGACTTTGAAAAAAGTCCGTTTCGAGAACGTCCAGCAACGTCCACGTTGCTGGACTTCAGATTCAAGCGTTGAGTTTTGTGGGTCTTGCAGTACCTCTGATGCTGCTACTGGGTAAATGTCCAGTGAATAACTCCGATGTTCACTGGTTTGTTTCTCGAAGGAGAACGTTGAAATTCCTTTCGATGAAAAGTCATGGAGAGAAATGAGCAAGCGGGATGAAAAGTCATGGCGAGACATGATCAGACCGGACGTGATGCCAATGTCTTTGGATGGACGGTTCCATTACTTCACGGTTCAAGTAAAATTTTTATTGGTGACTTCGATTTCTCGTCGTCGAACAAATTCGCTGACAGCTACAATGGAGATTTTTTACAAAAATTTCAAGGATGCAAAATTGTGCAGAGAATTCGGACTCTCCTAGCGCTGATTATCATGTGGGTAATCTTCTCTCTCGGACCTCCTTCCTACATCTATTCCTGGCACGGTTCAGCTGATTATCATCTGGCCGTTTCATATCTACATCCAATGACCCGAATTTCTTGGCATTTCAACTCATGGTACTTTGAAAGAAGATAGAACTGTCAAGCAGGATCCCAGGTGTATCAACTCTTCTTTACTCCGCTTATCTTCTTCAGTCTCGGTCAGATTTTGAATTAAATCCTGTAAATTTTTGCTTCCTTCTTCATGTTCACGAAGAGCTGCTTCTTCTTCTCTGGATGGGAGATTATAGAACTCTGGATGTGATTTGCTTTGGCAGCATATCATAGAGTGTTCACACTCTCTTGAAAGTCCTGCAATGCAACATGGGTTGTCCAGGTAAACTGAACCTTCCAATGCATCCAGTTTTCTCTGCTACAATGACTACTAAGGAGACAAAAAATTGAGACAAAAAATTATAAATGTGAACTATGAGAGGAAGGAGTGTGTGGTGTAGAAGTTAAATCCTTGGCAACTTTCAGAAAATTTTATTGCATGCAATGTCTTGAAAAGATAGGGGAATTTTTAGAAGTATTAGTACAAGTTTTTCATGAAAGAGTAATGAACGTATGTCTCGCTCTACTATGCCGTCAATTCAAAGACAATAGCTCAGTGAAAACAATATAGAAACTTGACTAGCAGGTGTTGGAAGAAGTATGATATTACGATGAAAATGAGAGGCAGATTTGTGTTTGGCTTTGTTGTTGCATTAGACTTTGACCAAGTCATGAACTATTCTCACTATAATAGAATCATTCATCGAGATCTCAAGCCTGACAAAGTGCTTCTCACGGATGATCAAGAGGTTGTGAAACTTGTTGACTTTGGACTGGTGACTGGAGAGAGAAGCAATATTAGCGAAGATAATGACAGTAAATACGGGGACTTAAATGTGGATCGCGTCCAAGCTTTACATCTCAATAACTTTGAAAAAGAGAGTTAGATAAGCGAAAATCATAAAGCCCTAATCCTAATTCTGTTTCCTTGTGATTGCTTGGACTTTTCCTTTTTTAGTGCATCCATCCAAAATATTTTCAACATTGGAGCTTGGGATTTCACAATTTACATTGTAAGTTTTTTCTCTCACTCACATTCACATTTTCATCAATTTGACTCCACTCCCCTTGATCTTTGAAAATTTCCGAGATGGCAAGGCAAAATTTGTGAGGTGGAATAGGTCATGCTCTGCAATGCAACGTAGAGAGTTTTTCCAAAGAATACATAATAATTTTTCAAAAAAAAAGATCTTCAATCAAGTGATTTATAAGCTCTCTTTGTGATAGAGTTACCCTAATATTGTAATTAAAAAAATAATTTCTAAAATTTGTGTAATAACCCACTAAAGGCTAAAACTGCAATACAGTTGTAGAAAGGTCGAACCCACAGGGACAGAGGAACACACAGGGTACAAAGTGTCACATTTAACAGACTATTGAGGAGTTTGAATTCTCAGGCGACTGTCACTCCCAGAAATACTGCAAGTGTTCACTCGGAGCTCACTCGGAGGTCGCACAGTGCAGCGTACAACACACACACACACACACACCTGAAACTACAAAAACACAACCCAGAGATCGGTTAGGATCTCTACTCAAGATTTCAGGGGGAATGTCTCTCGTGAGCACTCAGCGAAGCTGTGGGTAGTGACTCCCAACTCCGGCTTTTACAACCCTTCCGCTAGCTTTCTGCTAGCGTAGGGAACCCGGGTTGGACTTCCTACTTCGGATTGAAGTCACTCATACGCGGTGAACAACACTCTCAACTCACAAAACGCGCAGAGAACACAGGTCCGCACGGAAGGACTCGCTGAGAAACGTTCCAGTAACACACCATAACAGTCTATTGAAGAGTTTGAATTCTTAGGCACTTGTCATTCCCAGAAATACTACAGGGGTTATCCTGAAGGCACCTGCTGCAGCTTAACCTGAATTTACAACCAAGGCTTACACGAAGTAGCAAAACTTCACTTTGGCATTCAGGGGAAAAAATCCCGAAGAAGTACAATCAGTAACAAACACTCAAAGGTGTAGGGACGAAACTATTCAAGTATCTAACTAGTCACTGGCTCTGAGCATCGGCAATCGCCCGCAGGTGTAGATCCGAACTACTCAAGTCTCTAACCAATGTACTAGCTCTGAACATTCGGCCGAAGGCCTTCAGCTACACAATGCGGACCGCCAAGGTGTATCTCCTCTTGCGTGGTAACAGAACTAAGGATTCAAACACGCAGAGAAAATGAGTTCCTGATCTGCACTTCTGAAACTGGAAAAAATCCCAAGGCAAGACGCCTTGAACTACTTTATACCTTCTAAGTCCTAACTAGCACTACACTGCACAATGCTACACGCCTGCACGGAACCACGCTACACTACACTCCGCAGAACCTGTGCTTCGCCTCTTGCGCGACGGACTGCCGCGCACTAACTCCCTACCCTGCCAGTCCTCAGCTCGACTGCGCAGTCCCAATCGCCGTAACACCGCGGAAACCTCCGTCTCAAGGGTGGCCATGGTGTCCCGTGATCTCGACAGAAAAGAGTCTAGCTTCTTCGCCACTCGCCGCCGACTCCGACTGTCACCTGTCAACAACCCGGCTGCACGAAGCTCTAACTCGCGCAGTGTGAGTTTCTCCTGCGCCGCAACTTCCCAGTAGGCGTAGCCCCTAAGACAGTGGATGACTTGCCCTGCCATCTCTTCCTTCGTGCGATCTGCCGCCCGCCGGCGATCGTCTTCAACTACAACCAACTGCAATTGGGACTTCGCACGATGTGCTCTCAATTCTCCGCACTCGGACTGCAGTTTGCAGATTAATTACTCATCCGCCTGTCGTGGGAGCTGACACTGCTCTAACAACCGTGTCCGTCGCACGAGCTCCTCTGACAAAATTCAATTCTGAGCCTGCACAGAATCCAACGCCTCTTTGAGCTTCGCCTTCTCTTGGCAATTATGCTCTTGCAATTGTAAACAAATTATAATATGTCCAAAAATCACAATAGACTATGAAGTAACATGTGGAAGTTTGGAATATTTTTATTGCATACAATGAATGTAGTGTTTGTCTAGCATGCGATCTAATGCGAAGTTTTAATTTAAAAATTTGTGATAAAAGTTTATAAAAAATCAATACGTTACAAGCACTCAGATTGATCAAATAATAAGAATAATATTTTTTTTGCATAAAGTGAAAAATAAATATTACAATCATGTCAATATACAATAAATCGTTTAATGTTTATTCATTAAATTCATTCACTTTGACGAGGCTTAAATGGAATAAAAACGTTTCTCAAAAGAGAGGTAGAGAGAAATTAGCCTATAAGGGATTGAAACTAGGTGTAATTATCAAATCTTAACTCATATGCAATTGATTACATATTGTCTACTCGTATACAACGAGACATAACTCGCCTCATTCTTTGATATATCCAAATGGTAATTATTGTGCAATACCAAGAAATATCATGACTAAATAGTGTTATATATTTCAGATCAGGACTATCACGACTAAAGAATTTTGTCCAGCACCAGCGTAATATAAAAAATGTGAATTGTCGGAGCATGACATGACTGCAAGATATATGCTGACCTTTTCGGGGAAACTGGAGAGCACGCTTTTGCTATCTACACAGGTTACTCGTGCCTTGGTCTGACAATCATAGTCGAACATTTCCTGGTCCCAGAAACGCAATTGACGCGGAGAACCCAGGCTCAATCACACAGTAGCCCCTGTAATTCTACATGCGGCTAAATACGGAGAGCCTCCCAGCTTATGTATAACACACGATTTTCACGTTACAAGGACAAAGACGAAATGAGATGTTGGGTGTGGGATCTGATTAATTATCTAAACAAATCATGACGCTGTACTTCTTCAGGGAAGGTGTGGCCTCGATCGTTTCCAGACTATGACCTCGACGGGCGCCCGTACGCTGTCCTTTCTGGTCTACGACCGTGGCGATTCTTCTCATACCACCTTCCCAGATGCAATCATACGCCGGGGCTCGGATCTTTCGGTTTAAACTGTATAGTGGCCTCGTTCACAGGGCGAACTCGTGCAACTGACTTCTACGTGAACTGGTTACAGACAATATCGAGGAACTCCGATGCACAGAAAACTTCTGGAATTTGACCCGTCATGGTGGTTGTTGGACACACGAATTTGAATTCGAGATACTACACTGCCAACGCTTCT